TATTTGAACAGTGAGAGACAGAAAAACAACAACAAAAAACAGAAAAACGCATATCAAAAATGTTATAAATTGATTTGCATTTTAATGAGGGAAATAAGTATTTGACCCCTCTGCAAAACATGACTTAGTACTTGGTGGCAAAACCCTTGTTGGCAATCACAGAGGTCAGACGTTTCTTGTAGTTGGCCACCAGGTTTGCACACATCTCAGGAGGGATTTGTCCCACTCCTCTTTGCAGATCTTCTCCAAGTCATTAAGGTTTCGAGGCTGACGTTTGGCAACTCAAACCTTTGGCTCCCTCCACAGATTTTCTATGGGATTAAGGTCTGGAGACTGGCTAGGCCACTCCAGGACCTTAATGTGCATCTTCTTGACCCACTCCTTTGTTGCCTTGGCCGTGTGTTCTGGGTCATTGTCATGCTGGAATACCCATCCCCTGGCTGAGGGAAGGAGGTTCTCACCCAAGATTTGACGGTACATGGCCCCGTCCATCGTCCCTTTGATGCGGTGAAGTTGTCCTGTCCCCTTAGCAGAAAAACACCGCCAAAGCATAATGTTTCCACCTCCATGTTTGACGGTGGGGATGGTGTTCTTGGGGTCATAGGCAGCATTCCTCCTCCTCCAAACACGGCGAGTTGAGTTGCCAAAGACCTCGATTTTGGTCTCATCTGACCACAACACTTTCACCCAGTTCTCCTCTGAATCATTCAGATGTTCATTGGCAAACTTCAGACGGGCATGTATATGTGCTTTCTTGAGCAGGGGGACCTTGCGGGCTCTGCAGGATTTCAGTCCTTCACGGCGTAGTGTGTTACCAATTGTTTTCTTGGTGACTATGGTCCCAGCTGCCTTGAGATCATTTACAAGATCCTCCTGTGTAGTTCTGGGCTGATTCCTCACCGTTCTCATGATCATTGCAACTCCACGAGGTGAGATCTTGCATGGAGCCCCATGCCGAGGGAGATTGACAGTTATTTTGTGTTTCTTCCATTTGCGAATAATCGCACCGTTGTCACCTTCTCACCAAGCTGCTTGGTGATGGTCTTGTAGACCATTCCAGCCTTGTGTAGGTCTACAATCTTGTCCCTGACATCCTTGGAGAGCTCTTTGGTCTTGGCCTTGGTGGAGAGTTTGGAATCTGATTGATTGCTTCTGTGGACAGGTGTCTTTTATACAGGTAAAAAACTGAGATTAGGAGCACTCCCTTTAAGAGTGTGCTCCTAATCTCAGCTCGTTACCTGTATAAAAGACACCTGGGAGCCAGAAATCTTTCTGATTGAGAGGGGGTCAAATACTTATTTCCCTCATTAAAATGCAAATCAATTTATAACATTTTTGACATGCGTTTTTCTGGATTTATTTGTTGTTATTCTGTCTCTCACTGTTCAAATAAGCCTACCATTAAAATTATAGACTGATCATTTCTCTGTCAGTGGGCAAACGTACAAAATCAGCAGGGGATCAAATACTTATTTCCCTCACTGTATATATACAGTGTGTGCGAATGTAGCAAGTTATGGAGGTAAGGCAATAAATAGGCCATAGTGCAAAATAATTACAATTGTTGTAATATCTACTATTCTTATTGTTGTTTTAATATCTACTATTCTTAAATATGTTGTTTTAATATCTACTATTCTTAAATATGTTGTTTTAATATCTACTATTCTTAAATATGTTGTTTTAATATCTACTATTCTTAAATATGTTGTTATAATATTTACTATTCTTAAATATGTTGTTTTAATATCTACTATTCTTAAATATGTTGTTTTAATATCTACTATTCTTAAATATGTTGTTTTAATATCTACTATTCTTCTTGTTGTTTTAATATCTGCTATTCTTCTTGTTGTTTTAATATCTGCTATTCTTCTTGTTGTTTTCGCTGAGAGAGAGTGAAAGAGAGAGAGAAAGAGGCTGACAGAGGGACAGAAAGACAAACAGATGGATTCTGGAAGAGCTGAGGCCGGAAGATAAGTTTTTACTACTCCTCCCCTTCTCATCCCCCACTTCTCTGTTATCTTTATTCTCTCATTCCCTCTCTTTCCTCTCTTCTCCTCTCATTCCCTCTCTTTCCTCTCTTCTCTTCTCATCTGTTTCCTCTCTTTTCCTCTCTTCTCATTCCCCCTCTTTCCTCTCTTCTCTTCTCATTCCCTCTCTTTCCTCTCTTCTCTTCTCATCTGTTTCCTCTCTTTTCCTCTCTTCTCCTCTCATTCCCCCTCTTTCCTCTCTTCTCTTCTCATTCCCTCTCTTTCCCTTCTCTTCTCATCTGTTTCCTCTCTTTTCCTCTCTTCTCCTCTCATTCCCTCTCTTTCCTCTCTTCTCCTCTCCTCTCTTCTCCTCTCTCTCCTCTCCTCTCTTTTCCTCTCCTCTCCTCTCCTCTCCTCTCCTCTCTCCTCTCTTCTTCTCTCTTCTCTTTCCTCTCTTCTCTTCTCCTCTCTTCTCTACTCATCTGTCTACTCACCTCTCCTCTCTTCTCCTCTCCTCTCCTCTCCTCTCTCCTCTCTTCTCCTCTCTTCTCTTCTCCTCTCTTTTCCTTTCTTTTCCTCTCGTCTCCTCTGTTTCATATATTCCTAACAGTTAAAGGATGTGTCCCAAATGGCACCCTATTCCCTACATAGTGCACTACTTTTGACCAAAGCTCTATTGGCGCTGGTGCCTTATGTCCTTGGTCAAAAGTAGTGCACTATATAGGGAATAGGGTGCCATTTGGGATGCAGACAAAGTCTTGTGTGTTTGAACTGACCCAGTGGAGATGGAGTCTTTATAGGAGAGACCACTTAAGCTGTCACCCTGTCCTTCTGCACAAGTAGCTATAAATCCTTTACACACACACACACACACGCACACACACACACACACACACACACACACACGCAAACGCAGAGACACACACCCCCTCCATCGCTCTCCCTCCATCCACACACGAGCCACAAATCTCCTTTCTCCCCTTTCTTACATTAAACATCCATCATATTACATTACAGTGTCTGTTAACTACCTCTCTACCAGACCACTATTCATCACAAAGGCTTCGTCCAAAATGGAACCGTATTTCTTATTTGTGACTCGTTTCAGGAAACTAGGAGAATGTCACGTGTCACTACTTCACAGGAGAGGCAACTGAACGTAAACATTTAATTTTTTTATCAAAATGCATTTTTTTGGCAGAAATGCTTTCTGGAACGTGAACTTTCATGTGCCTTAATACCAACTTGTTTTCAAGTGCCTTAATACCAACTTGTATGCCATCTATAAATACGAATACAATTGTTAAATTACGAGCCTAGTTTTTTTAGCCACGGAAAAAGACAGGAACATTCCCGCTAGCCATGATTGGCTGAGATATTGGATGGGCTGGACATGCCGAGAGATGAGTTCGGATTGATCTGCCATGTAGCCTGCTGAGTTGGGATTGGTCTGCCATGTAGCCTGCTGAGTTGGGATTGGTCTGCCATGTAGCCTGCTGAGTTGGGATTGGTCTGCCATGTAGCCTGCTGAGTTGGGATTGGTCTGCCATGTAGCCTGCTGAGTTGGGATTGGTCTGCCATGTAGCCTGCTTCTGTCTATAACATGAGCTGCTCAGTATGTGTAGATAATTCTTGCTACTGCGGCTTTTTAAAAAGATATCACAAAGAACTGCAAAAGTGTTGCTAATTCTCGCCACTTTCTGGAGGACCGAGTTTTGAAATCAGTGGAATGCGCGGTGGAGGCTAAGGAGATGGAGAAAATTCAACCGTTTGATTGCAAATATGCGGAGGGAGTCGAAAAGAGAAACACACAGAAGGCTGTTGTATAAAACACCTGTCTCCGGATTACATCTTCAAACTAAGGGCAACTATGGCATCTGTGACAGAGGGAGAAGCGTCCATCCATGTATACAGGTAAGAGAGTCCAGCTATCTACATTTTCAGATATTATACGTTTCTAATTTTGTCAGAAAGTCATTTTCATTGCAAGTTAAAGAGTACTGTTAGCTAGCCAGCTAACGTTATCTGGCTGGCTCGCTAGCTAATGTTACGTGTATGAAATGTGTAGAAATATTATTCGTATCTCAGAGTCATTTGCATTGCTAGTTATAGCCTAATATTAGCTAGCTAGCTAACATTGAACCTAGTTGGTTAGCTTTAGCTACCTGTAGATTCATGCAGGGTAGTAACGTCATGAGTTGGGATTATGGTTCATTGTTTAGCTAGCTAGCTAGCTACATGTCTAAACCAAAGACTCCACTCTGCAAGTAACCATTTCACTGTACCATTTACACCTTCAGTATCCTGTGCATGTGACAAAGAAACTTTTATTTTATATGGTATAGTGTGTGTTTACCAGAGACAGTAATGTGAAGAACAACATGCACCAACCTGCACCAAAGTCAAATCAGAATATAACATTAGGCCAACGGGACAGTGTCCAAGTTCTAGAATACTCTGGTAGAATGCCCTGCTACAGACATGTCCATAGACGTAGTATAAACCTGCCTTTAGTCTTGAAATCTTTGGTTGTTCAGTACACTACCGTACTCACTCTGTTTAGCACATGGCCTCACATGGGAATCCTTAAAGAGATGGGTGGGGCTAAGGCTTAAGAGGGTGTGAACGATGCTGAATGGGTGTAGACAAAGAAGAGCTCTCCAGTATGTTTGCCAAAACATTCAAGGGCCAGTTTCTCAAAAGTGGGGTTACAAGTTTATCAACTTTCAAAGCAGATTGATTTTCCCATTGTTCCTCAACTGTAGTGTATGATATACCATTTTCTAGCTATGAGTCTCTACTTTTATCCAATGTAAAAAACACAATTTCAAATGTTGCTACATAAGACCACATACAGTGCAGTGCACTACTGTTGACCAAGGCCCATAGGTTATATGGTGCTATTTGGAACGTAACCTAAGATAAATATTCTGTCCAAAACAGACTTTTGAAATGAATAATCGTGTGGGTATTTTTGTTTTGTTTTTATGGGTAACCATGTTCTCCCGATCCACTGTGTTTCGAGCATTACATTCTACGACAACCTCAACACAAACAGAAGTCATTCTGGGCTCTAGAACTATGACACAGCAGTCAAACGCCAAGGTGGCTATGGAAGTAACAGTGTGGATTACATTTCATTTACATTTCAGTCATTTTAGCAGACGCTCTTATCCAGAGCGACTTACAGTTAAGTGAGTGCATACATTTTCATACTGCCCCCCCCCCCGTGGGAATCGAACCCACAACCCTGGCGTTGCAAACGCCATGCTCTACCAACTGAGCTACATCCCTGCCGGCCATTCCCTCCCCTACCCTGGACGACGCTGGCTAATTGTGCGCCGCCCCATGGGTCTCCCGGTCGCGGCCGGCTACGACAGAGTCTGGATTCGAACCAGGATCTCTAGTGGCACAGCTAGCACTGTGATGCAGTGCCTTAGACCACTGCACCACTCGGGAGACAGAGACAGAGTTCTACAGTAGAGATAGAGATGTGTTTGTGTTGAGGTTTAAGAATGCTTGTAATACACACATTTATACACACATACATACACACACACCAAAACACACACACACACACCCATGCACACAAGCACGCACACATGCACACAGGTACCTGCTGCGGAGCAGTGTAGTTGGCTGGGTTGGACACAGAGTTGTTGCTGGAGTACAGACCAGATGAGGAAGTGAAACTGGACCCTGGAGAGAGAAGGAGAGACAGAGAGACAGAGAGAGAGGAGACAGAGAGAGAGAAGGAGAGGGAGAAAGAGAGAGACAGAGAGACAGAGAAAGAGACAGAGAGAGAGGAAGGGAGGGAAGATTGAGACAGAGATTAAGGAAAAGGAAAAGGAGAGAAGAGGGAGAGGAGAGGAGAGGAGAGAGGGGAAGGAAAGATGAGAGAGAGGAGAGGAGAGACAGAGGAGAGACAGATGAGAGGAGAGGAGGGGAGAGGAAGGACAGGAGAGGAGAGAGTAGAGAGAGGAGAGGAGAGGAGAGAGGAAGGAAGGAAGGAGAGGAGAGACAGAGGAGAGGAGAGGAGAGGAGAGAGGAGAGAGGAGAGAGGAGAGAGGAGAGAGAGGAGAGGTGAGACAGAGGAGATGAGAGAGAGGAGAGGCAGAGGAGAGGAGAGAGAGGAGAGGAGAGACAGAGGAGAGGAGAGAGAGGAGGAGAGGAGAGGTGAGACAGAGGAGAGGGAGAGAGAGGGCAAGGAGAGGAGAGGAGGGGAGACAGAGGAGAGGAGAGGAGAGAGGAGGAAAGGGAGGAGGAGAGTAGAGAGAGGAGGGTGAGACAGAGGAGATGAAGGACGAGAGGAGAGGCAGAGGGAGAGGAGAAGAGAGGCGAGAGACAGAGGATGAGAGAAGAGAGGAGAGACGAGGAGAGGTGAGACAGGAGGGAGAGGAGAGGAGAGGAGAGGGCGAGGGAGGCGGAGAGGAGAGGAGGACAGAGGAGAGAGACGGAGGAGACAGAGGAGAGGTGGACAGGAGGAGAGGAGAGGTGAGGACAGAGGAGAGGAGAGACAGGAGCAGAGGAGAGGGGAGAGGAGGAGAGGATGAGAGAGGATGGGGGAAGGAAGGAGAGAGAGGAGGACAGATGAGAGGAGGAACGGGAGAGGACAGAGGAGAGGAAGAGGAAGAGAGGGAGAAGAGGAGGACAGGGTGGAGAGAGAGAGGACACGAGAGAGGAGAGAGAGATTATTGTTTATTTCACTTCTGTTTATTATCTACTTCACTTGCTTTGGTAATGTTAACGTTAGTTTCCCATGCCAATAAAGCCCTTAAATTGAAATTGAAATTGAATTGAGAGAGAGAGAGAGAGATTAATTAATTAATCATGTGTCAATTTATTTTGCTGACATTATAGGCATTGAGACATTTATATATTTATTCATTTAACCTTTATTTATACAGTGTCAGAATGGTGTAGGTGGATGATAGGAATCAGGCGCAGGAAACCAGGAGGACGTCAACAGATCTTTACTGAGTCCAAAACACAAGGATACGTCGCCAACCCAACCGGGTGGCGCGAACAATTACGCACGAAAATCACAGTGCGAGAAAACCAGGAAAAGCGCACACAGTGCGAGCTCTCGTAAAATACACACAACGAGAGAACAACCTCGAAAAGGCAGGCTGACAAAAACAATCACGCATAACACCTGACCCAAACAAACAAACTAAATAAGGGGAACAATCAAGACACAAATAAGGGACAGGTGTTATGAACAGACAAAACCAAAAGAACAAGAAACATAGAACGGTGGCAGCTAGTACTCCGGAGACGACGACCGCCGAAGTCCGCCCGAACAAGGAAGAGGAGCAGCCTCGGCCGAAACCGTGACATACAGGGAATCCCACTAGAGAGCAGGGTATCTTTTTCAATGATCCTCTGTGTTACTACAAACAACTATTCAAACAGCTTAAACAGACACAATTACATGCAGAGCAGAATTATTCGATTTTTACAAGTTCACTCCACAATGAACAGGTCCTGTATTTTAGTCTTACCTAATGAAGCCAGGAATTCCTACTTAAGTCATGCTAGTACGGTATCTGTCACCTGATTGGTCAGGTTTCCACTCTCACATTCCTCTGATTGGCTGTTTGGCCACTGACCTGGCATCTGATATGGTGAGTAGGCGGTCTGTCCAGGCTGGGGCGTGTAGCTGAGGCTGGTCTGTAGGGGGGTTTGGGAGAGACCCCCCTCTGTCTTCATACCTGGTAACATCACACCCAGGTCTGGAGAGAGAGAGAGAGGGGGGGGGGGGGGGAGAGCGAGGGAGAGAGAGAAAACAAAACAGGTTGGCATCCATATATCTGCCATTGCATAAAAGATGGAGGTGAGAGGACAATATGTCTGAGTACGTGCATGTCAGTCTTTACCATAGGTAGACAGTCCGTAGGCCTGGCCAGTCTGGGAGTACGCGGTGTAGACGGTCGACGGCTGCATGCTGCTGAACTGGGATTGGCCGGCGTACGCTGGCATGGGCGGGGCTGCCGGTGTGGATAGGATGTGGGGGTACGGCCTGAGGAGAGGGGGGGGGGGGGGAGGAGAGGAGTACACATACGTTTTCAGAATACTACAAAAGTATGTACAGTTACAAGTAATAGGAAAACCACATGATAATACTTACTTGGAGGGGTAGATGGGTGGGGAGTACTGGTGTGGTTAGTAATGTGGTAATATAATATACAGTACCAGTCAAAAGTTTGGACACACCTACTCATTCTGTCACGCCCTGGCTCTGGGGACACTTGTATGTTGAGCCGGGGTGTGAGTTTCCATTTGTTTGTCTAGTAGTTGTATTTCTATGTTGGCCAGAGTGGTTCCCAATCAGAGGCAACGAGTGTCAGCTGTTGCTGGTTGTCTCTGATTGGGAACCATATTTAGACAGAAGATCCCACCAAGACTGGACCAAGCAGCGTGTCCAGGAGCCATCGCCAGGGAGATCTCTAGCGGATCTCCTTCGCCGCCTCGACTGGGTCAAGCCGTGTGAGGAAGAGAGGGGCTTGACGTGGAAGCAGAAGGGCGAAAGGCTGGCGAAAAGTATGGAGACCTGGTCGGAGGAGGTAGGAGAGAAGCCCAGAAATTTTTTAGGGGGGGGCTCACGACGGGGCAGCAGGAGACCCAGCGGGTTGGCAGAGGAGGCCGCCAGGTTACGGGGGCCACTGGTCAAAGAGGGGAAGGAAGGTGTAGAGGCACGGCGAGAGGTACTGGGGTGTATTACCAGTCCGGTCCGGCCCGTTCCTGATCCCTGCGTAGGGCCAGTGGTGTGTGTCCCCAGTACGGTCCGGTCTGTTCCTGTTCCTTGCACCAAGCCTATGGTGCGCGTCGCCAGCCCGGCCCGGCCTGTTCCTGCTCCCCGCACCAAGCCAATGGTGCGCGTCGCCAGCCCGGCCCGGCCTGTTCCTGCTCCCCGCACCAAGCCAATGGTGCGCGTCGCCAGCCCGGCCCGGCCTGTTCCTGCTCCCCGCACCAAGCCAATGGTGCGCGTCGCCAGCCCGGTCCGGAACCGTTCCTGCTCCCCGCACCAAGCCAATGGTGCGCGTCGCCAGCCCGGCCCGGCCCGTTCCTGCTCCCCGCACCAAGCCAATGGTGCGCGTCGCCAGCCCGGCCCGGCCTGTTCCTGCTCCCCACACCAAGTCAGTGGTGCGCTTCGTCAGCCCGGCTCGGTCCGTTCCTGCTCCCCACACCAAGCCAGTGGTGTGCGTCGTCAGTCCGGCACGGCCCGTGCCTGTTCCACCGGTGCCTGGTCCAGCACCGGTCAGCTGCTCCACGCCGGAGCTAGAGCAATCCGCTCCACCAGTGTTCAGTTCAGCTCCGGTCAGCAGGGCCAGACCGGACCAGGGGTACTTTGGGGGGTTAGAGAGGGAGTGGGGATCATGCCCGGAGCCGGATCCGCCGCCAAGGCGGAGTGCCCATCCGGTCCCTCCCCTGTGGTATTTGGTTGGCGCGGTCGGAGTCCGCGCCTTTAGGGGGGGGTACTGTCACGCCCTGGCTCTGGGGACACTTGTATGTTGAGCCGGGGTGTGAGTTTCCATTTCTTTGTCTAGTAGTTGTATTTCTATGTTGGCCAGAGTGGTTCCCAATCAGAGGCAACGAGTGTCAGCTGTTGCTGGTTGTCTCTGATTGGGAACCATATTTAGACAGACTGTTTTCCCACAGTGGTTGTGGGATCTTGTTCCAGTGTGGTTTGTGTTAGACCGTGGACGTCACGTTATCGTTTGTTGTTTTGTTCATGTAATCATTGAATAAAAGAGTATGTTTGCATTCAACGCTGCGCCTTGGTCCTCCTCCTTCGACGATCGTGACACATTCTCACCCTTGGCATTCTCTTAACCAGCTTCACCTGGAATGGATTTCAATTAACAGGTGTGCCTTCTTAAAAGTTAATTTGTGGAATTACTTTCCTTAATGCGTTTGAGCCAATCAGTTGTGTTGTGACAAGGTAGGGGGGTATACAGATGATAGCCCTATTTGGTAAAAGTCCATATTATGGCAAGAACAGCTCAAATAAGCGAAGAGAAATGACAGTCCATCATTACTTTAGGACATGAAGGTCAGTCAATACGGAAAATGTCAAGAACTTTGAAAGTTTCTTCAAGTGCAGTAGCAAAAAACATAATGCGCTATGATGAAACTGGCTCTCATGAGGACCGCCACAGGAATGGAAGACCCAGAGTTACCTCTGCTGCAGAGGATAAGTTCATTAGAGTTACCAGCCTCAGAAATTGCAACCCAAATAAATGCTTCACAGAGTTCAAGTAACAGACACATCTCAACATCAACTGTTCAGAGGAGACTGTGTGAATCAGGCCTTTATGGTCGAATTGCTGCAAAGAAACCATTACTAAAGGACACCAATAAGAAGAAGAGACTTGCTTGGGCCAAGAAACACGAGCAATGGACATTAGACCGGTGGAAATGTGTCCTTTGGTCTGGAGTCCAAATTGGAGAGTTTTGGTTCCAACCGCCGTGTCTTTGTGAGATGCGGTGTGGGTGAACGGATGATCTCTGCATGCGTAATTCCCACCATAAAGCATGGAGGAGGTGGTGTTATGGTGTGGGGGTGATTTGCTGGTGACACTGTCTGTGATTTGTTTAGAATTCAAGGCACACTTAACCAGCATGGCTACCACAGCATTCTGCAGCGATACGCCATCCCATCTGGTTTGGGCTTAGTGGGACTATCATTTGTTTTTCAACAGGACAATGAACCAACACACCTCCAGGCTGTGTAAGGGCTATTTTACCAAGAAGGAGAGTGATGGAGTGCTGCATCAGATGACCTTGCCTCCACAATCCCCCGACCTCAACCCAATTGAGATGGTTTGGGATGAGTCGGACCGCAGAGTGAAGGAAAAGCAGCCAACAAGTGCTCAGCGTATGTGGGAACTCCTTCAAGACGTTTGGAAAAGCATTCCAGGTGAAGCTGGTTGAGAGAATGCCAAGAGTGTGCAAAGCTGTCATCAAGGCAAATGGTGGCTATTTGAAGAATCTCAAATATAAAATATATTTTGATTTGTTTAACACTTTTTTGGTTACTACATGATTCCATATGTGTTATTTCATAATTTTGATGTCTTCACTATTATTCTACAATGTATATAAATAAAGAAAAACCCTTGAATGAGTAGGTGTGTCCAAACTTTTGAATGGTAGTGTAGCAATAGTGTATAGCATAGTTATATAGTAATATAATATAGTAATAGTGTATAGTATAGTTATATAGTAATATAATATAGTAATAGTGCATAGTATAGTAATATAGTAATAATGTATAATATAGCTACATAGTAAAATAGTAATATAATATATGAATAGTGTTTAGCATATTAATATAGTAATTTAATATGGTAATAGTATATAGTATAGTTATATAGTAATATAATATAGTAATAGTGTATTGTATAGTTATATAGTAATAGTGTATAGTATAGTTATATAGTAATATAATATAGTAATAGTGTATAGTATAGTTATATAGTAATAGTGTATAGTATAGTTATATAGTTTATTAAAGGACTTACTTGGATGGTTAGATGGGTTGGGAGTACTGGTATGGTTAGTAATATAGTAATAGAATATAGGAATAGTGTACAGTGCATTCTGAATGTATTTAGACCCCTTCACTTTTTCCACATTTTGTTACGTTACAGCCTTATTCTAAAATGGATTAAATAAAACATTTTCCTCATCAATCTACACACAATATCCCATAATGACTAAGTGAAAACATTTTTTTAGAAATGTTTGCACATTTATTAAAAATAAAAAACTGGAATATTACATTTACTTAAGTATTCAGAATCTTTACTCAGTACTTTGTTGAAGCACCTTTGGCAGCGATTACAGCCTCGAGTCTTCTTGGGTACGACTTTATAAGCTTGGCACACCTGTATTTGGGGAGCTTCTCCCATTCTTACATTTTCTCTCCACAGATCCTCTCAAGCTCTGTCAGGTTGGATGGGGAGTGTCGCTGCACAGCTATTTTCAGGTCTCTCCAGAGATGTTCGATCGGGTTAAAGTCCGGGATCTGGTTGGTCCACTCAAGGACATTCAGAGACTTGTCCCGAAGCCACTCCTGCGTTGTCTTGGCTGTGTGCTTGGGTCGTTATCCTGTTGGAAGGTGAACCTTCACCCCAGTCTGAGGTCCTGAGCGCTCTGGAGCAGGTTTTCATCAAGGATCTCTCTGTACTTTGCTCCGTTCATCTTTGCCTCGATCCTGACTAGTTTCCCAGTACCTGCCGCTGAAAAACATCCCCACAGCATGATGCTGCCACCACCATGCTTCACCATAGGGATGGTATTGGCCAGGTGATGAGCGGTGCCATGTTTTCCTCCAGATGTGACGCTTTGTTCAATCTTAATTTCATCAGACTAGAGAATCTTGTTTCTCTTGGTCTGAGAGTCCTTTATGTGCCTTTTGGCAAACTCTTCCTTCGACCTCATGGGTTGGTTTTTTCTCTGACATGCACTGTCAACTGTGGGACCTTATATAGACAGGTGTGTGCCTTTCCAAATCATGTCCAGTCAATTGAATTTACCACAGGTGGACTCCAATCAAGTTGTAGAAACATCAAGGATAATCAATGGAAACAGGATGCACCTGAGCCTAATTTCGAGTCTCATAGCAAAGGGTCTGAATACTTATGTAAAAAGGTATTTCTGTTTTTTTTATAAATTAGCAAACATTTCTAAATACCTATATTTACAATGTCATTATGGGGTATTAACTTGATCTATTTTAGAATAAGGCTGAAACGTAACAAAATATAATACAGTAATAGTGTATAGCATAGTTATATAGTATAAAAGTAAAGTGATAGATTTTTATATGTTAAATATAGAAATTGCTTTTAGTTTATGAATATAAATAATAAAAGTGAATATATTTATATAAAATATCATATGAAAATAGTGTATAGATATTTTAAAAGTATAAATATGAATGTTTAATATGTTTATGTAATTAATTAGTGATAGTTTATAGATTTTTTAATTTTAATATAGTAATAGGTTTATAATTATTTTTATTATTTGGTTTTATTTTATTTTAATTATAAAGTGTATATTTATTTAAAAGTAAATAATTTTTAAATAGTTTTAGTATATATTAAA